GGCATAATCTGCTGCACATAGCCTGGACTGACTGGGGCCCCGTATATATTTTATATGCATTTATTAACGTGTTTAACAAATTAAACGTAAATATCCTTTACATTACGACAAATTACTTAATAACGCAGACAATGACTCTTGACAAAAGACAGACCCGTCCTCTCGTCAGAGAAAGCGCCCCACAGAAACAAAACCAAAACTATCAAACAGTAATAAATATCTGGTCGTGAGCCCCAGATGAGGCTCGACGCCAAGACTGACTGACTGATCGTCAGTCGCAATGTGACGTTTACTTGACCCAGTTAGAGAAGTCAGTTTCCTGTGTGGTGGCGGGGTCGAATACCTCCACCGTAGACCTGCGAGTAGTAGGAGGCGACGAAAAGGGAACCCAGTGCCTGGTGTTATAACTGGGCCACCTTGTTCCTGGGGATATAAATACGGGGACCTGGACTTGCAGGTTGGGGGAGTCTCGAATCTGAGAGGGTGAAATGTGGTAATGAGCCTTGAGGGACTCGGACCTGAAAATGACTGCACTAGCGAGGTCCAGCAGCAATTGTAAACGACTGACCCGTCCTCTTGTTAGAGAGAATGTTACACGTACATATGGACCATGACCGCAAGCGTTCATTTGGAAAAAATAAATTACTGGTCATGAGTCTCAAGGGGCTCGTCGCCAAGACGAACAGATTTTCGGTAAACCTCCAGTTGTAAAGTATTCTGAAGTTTGAAATCTTGACCCAGTTAGATGATAGTTGAATTCTGCAAGGGAGACTGACTGAGAAAATATGGCGCTATAATTAAGTGGAATTACGAGTTGTGTGATATTCGCCGGACAGTAATGACATGAGTACAGAAGGTGAAGACTCTCTACTGTTAGGAGACGTTTCTAGGGAACGATTGGTGAGGACACAAAGTGCTGGAAAAGGTTTATCGTGTGCTGTACTGATTTGAAAAGTGTGTTGATCAGCGGTATCATTTTACGTGCTTGTAGTTCCGATTCGTGTGTATAAATGGCCAATAAAATCGATTACAAATCCTAACTCTGTCATAATCACACCCATAAATTGTGACAATACTGAAATTACGTTAACAGTAAAATGAAAGAATTTTAAAGGTGAAGTTTTTCTCTTGAGAACTTCCGTAACAAGGTTATTTTTTTATGGTGGGTTGTCTCTGCTGATCCATCTTGTTTCACTATGAACTGCCACAAACTGCATGTGGCTGGCTCAATTTGTTTGTGCGACACAATTTTTCAAGGCCCCAAAGGGACTTTGTGGACACGCTGTATATTTTGATGTTGGTCGGCATAGGTCTTGAACTTTATCTCTTAATCTCAGGAATGAACAGAGTCTTAAAGTGTTTCGGAGCAGGACTCAGCCTACAGGGCTTAGATCAAATAGGAATGAAGTAAGAGAAGGCTCGAGAATGTTCCAAATGCAAAACTTCCTAATTTATTGCCGGATATTGCTAGGGTGATGGAAAGTAAAGGGACAGAGCGATGGGGCATGCAGCAGGAACTGAGAAAAGATGGGTAGTATATACAAAATTTTCAATTGTATATATGAAAAGATGAAACCACCTAGGAGCAGATGGGGTGATGGCATTAGAATGAATGTAAAGATAACTGTTAAGTTACACGTCTCATACTGGCTTCAGCGATGGATACCTGCAAACATGAAAATGAACCTTACTGAACAGGTTGTTTTGACGGTAATATTCTGGGCTTCTATTACAAAGATGCTAGGTTCAAATCTCGGCCAGGATGCAGACTATCCTGACTGAGATATTTCTTGGCTTTCTTCGACACTTCCAGGCAAATATGGGAACAGTGCCTGGGATGAACAATGAAGGAATATTTCCAATTCACTAGTCATCTTACATTCCTCACTACATAGTATCACGTACTGAAAAATCATATTCCTCCCACTTGTAATGAATCTTTAGATGCAATCACATTTTGGGAATTTCGTAAACAGTTCAATAACAGCACTGCCATTTATGAAATCAGTTATGTGTGTCGGTTAGTGTGCATATGTTATGCGTGTATTATTCTAAGCTACAATATTTTCACTTATATATATAAATTGTGGTGTGTATGCCCATTACTAGGCAACGACTTGGTAAACACATTCCCTCAAAGCGTACTTGTGTGACAGAAGGATTCCCATAGCTAAGTAAATAAAATATATAACCTAATTATAATAAGCTTGTAGTGCACTCAATTTCACATGTCACTTCACTACATGTTTCGGCAACATTGTGCCATCCTCAGGTGCTTTATTTATGCTAAGCTACTGCATTGCTTGCTATCATGATGGCAATAGCTTAGCGTAAATAAAGCACCTGAGGTTGGCACAATGTTGCCGAAACATGTAGTGAAGTGACATGTGAAATTTAGTGCACTACAAGATGGCCATTACATACATATCATGGATGAGAATCAGCGCAACAGGACGCTAAAATACAACATAATAAGCTTGTACAAAGCTCCAGTAGATGTTAATGAATTTCTAAGGAACGCAACTTTAAAATATCCGTACAATCAAAAATTTCACTTCATAACCTATGGAGACATAAACATGATATATTAAAACAAACAGCCACTGAGTACAAGGAAACTCTTTACGACCAAAGACAAAAATTAGACAGATGTGTTAATTTTGAAACAAGAATTCAAAATTCCACGAGTAAAAAAAACCATTGATAATAATTTTATAGATAGTATAACATTAAAAAGTAAATTTAATTCCCTTGAAACAGAGAACCAGAAAAATTAATAAAGAGACCACTGCACAATTTCAGCATCTATTAGAGAGGAAAAACTGTGGGAACATGTCTTCAAAAATATGAATATAAACTTTAAGTTTAACTCCCTTTTCATGTTCTTTAAATGTCTTTGTAGCTAGTTTTCCCATTCAGGATAAAAGTGTAGGTAGAAGAAAATAAGTTGATTATACAAAGGAATAAAAATGTCATGCACTGCAGTAGTAATCCTAACATGAGAGCATAATATATCGTGCACTGCAAAAACCTCGGCAGAGTTATAAAAAGAGGATAAAATGCAGCATTAATGTAGGTTTATAGCAAAATCAGATAATCAGATAAGAACAGCTTGGAATATAATAAAACGTGAAAGAAGAAAATTACATCTGACTGAACAGATACAGTCTCTCCTATAAATGATGAAGTAAACGAATCAGAATGCTATTTTTCTGACCAGACTCATGATAACAGACGCTTCAAATTTAATTAATTTTCCTCACTTCCACTCCATACTCCTTCTTGAGCAGCTTAATATTCTGGTCTAATTTGATTGGCACATTCTCGTTTCTTCCCCTTTACGCAATGCAGATTCCATCCACAATGTTTACAAATATATTAAAGTGTCACTGTATAATTGGTACTCATACATGCAGTCCTGTAATGTTATCTGCGAAAACATGCATTCCATTGAGGAGCAGAGCTGCATCATGAACTTAAATCAAATCCGCTCAACCATGTTGCGTCGACTGAAACACACACTGTAAAGTAAAGTAAAGTAAAAAGTAAAGCTATCCTTGTAACAGCCCGTGAAGGCCCATAGGGTTGTGAGACATTGAGGGTCCCACATTATCTAGACAATTGGCTCAAAGATGGCGGTAAGGTTGTCAGCCTCATGCACCAGCTGCGCTTTACTCCCCAGGAAAATTATTTAATTAATTCCTGGTACTCATTTCTGTTAGAGGCTGAGTCAACCCCAGGGCCATAGTACGGCTGGAAGGATTAGGTCAATCGAAAATAATCCAGTGGCCTCATCAGGAACTGAACCCGCGACCTTCCAGCTTGTAGCATAGCCCCTCAACCAACTACGCTACTGCGTGCATCCCAAAACACACACTGTGCACATAATAATGCATTTCACTGACATTTATAAAATATGACTACGCCTGTAGCAATAATGTCCCTATGTATAACGTGCAGCGTACACACCACCATACATATATGGCTAAGATGCCTCAGGTCATAATACATTATTAGAACTGTAGCAGTAACACAGAAAGATCTTGAGTATCCACGTTTTCTGCAGTAACACACATCAACCACATGCAACAAGTCATAAGCTGCTACTGATAAGATGGCTGGCGGGTTGCCTTTCTGGGCGCCCATTCATACCAACTTATGTCTAGTTACTGGCTTCCCACTGCGGCAGAGCGGGTTCAATCCCAGGTCTGGTCAAGTGGCATTTGTGATGGACAAAGTGGCACTGGGGCAGGTTTTCTCCAAGTACTTTGGTTTCCCCTGCCAATCTTCATTCCACCAAATTCACCAAATAATCACGCGGGGCAGGTACAATAGGCTAATCAGTGGCCGGAATTCTTTCAACTGTTTGACAGCGTCTTCACTAATACTTCCACTTTCATCACACACACATTCTTCGAAGAAAAATATTTTTAAGCCTCAGGGATATTTTGTTTTCTTATGCTCATAACACTGGACCACTGATCAGAACACCCTCTGACCCCATCTGGTGTAACCACTGTATCAGATGTTCTTTGTGTGGTGATGCCTCAATTGTTTCCTTCTTTTTCACTTGTGCCCTACACTGACCTTCCTCATCAAAAATCACAACTCTTTGTAACATCATGTTACTTAATGATAGATGGAGCCCAAAATGGTTTGCTGTTTCAAATCATGATACAGTTGAATTATTTTTAACACCCTGAAGAATTTTTATTCTCTCACTTATAGTGAGCTTATTCCTTCTTAATGCCATGGACCAGGAAGTAACTTCCAGAAATCTAAGTTTATGATAACATACAGACTGTTATCAGCACAAAGAAAACAACTTAAGTTTGTCTTTAGAAGAAATGTTTGTTCAGAAAGTTAAGATACTCACATCAAATGCAGCATAAGTATATCACTGGTTAAGTAGAATGGCTACAAATTATATAACAGTTACATTACCTGAGGAACGGCATGTTCTCAAAACTTCAAATTTACGTGCAGACAGTACTCACAAATCATATCAGAAGAATTTAATGCAAAAGGAATAGAGAAAGGGTAAATTAAACATGTTGCTCTATTTCTGAGATGGCACTTTGTACACTATAACACCAATATGTGGAGATAAAAGTTATATATAAAAAATACATTACATAAAAATAAAATATATACAATAAAACGTGAACTCATATTTTAGCAAATATCAGACACAGTTCACATTATTAGTTAGTGACATCACTTCTTCATGCATCAGCAAGTGTTGCTATTGAACTACGTATGATAATAAATGATAGTACTATTGAAATTTTGACATTCACTGTTACAACTTTAAAATGAACTTGTTTTACTATATACATTTGATGTATGCAATGTTATTTGGGATCATTCACCACTGAATCATAGTCCTGACATCCCCAGAAAGACACAGACCTATTATATTTTGAATACATGACTAGTAAATTGGCAAGTTTATTTGGATTCAAGGGGGTAATGTGATAACACTCAACCCCAGTCTTCTTTGGAGTTCGTCAAATCTGTCAACATATTCAGCCACATCATTGGGCCTCAGGGGTGTAACTGCATTCCTGCAAATACAATATAGAAAATAAATACACAATAACTGTGGGCAACATCTCCAAACACAAGTCACAAAGAGTCAATCAATTTTAAATGCAGTCACTTCCATTAAACTATCACTCTGGTAGCAGAAACAAAAATTGTAAAAAACCCATCAATGTACCCAGGCCTGGGTATTTGTATGACTTAAATGCATATGAAGCACTTGGAATGAAACATGTTATTGTAATTACAACAAAAAAAAACTTCATAGACAGTGTTACCAAAAAAAAAAATAGAAGGAAAAAAAACTGGTCATGTACTATACCAAAACGTATCACTTAACTAGCATTACCTCACACCATACAAAGTAATTCAGTCAGCCAATAACAACAGTACTACTAACCTTGTTAACAAATACCATATATGTTAGGTGAGTGACTGAATTTTGTCTGCTGTGATACACTGTATGTCAGCCTTCAGAATTACATTCATAGTCTTGTAGGGAATGAATCTGAAAGTATTACTAAGCCCAAGGCTCTATGCTGATATGTTGGGATTTTGGACTTTATCCATCGTCCTGGTTTTTAAGATAACAAATAAAATCACGACGTTTCGGAAACAGATCCAGTTTCCGAAACGTCGTGTTTTTATTTGTTATCTTATAAACCAGGACGATGGATAAAGTCCAAAAACCCAACATATCAGTGTGTTATACACCATCGTCAGAATCCTATAGTAACTACCAAGGCTCTATGTTTAAAGCCTTTTCTTTCGTATATAAGGATACCCTTATGATCAGAGAAAAGAGATAATTTATGTGAAATCTGCATCAGAAAATCAATGCAACATTTTAAAATTCTAATGTTTCTTCTGCCACTTTACAGATTCCAATTACTCTAAAACATAAACTCCATACCAAGTCGGGCATGAGCCAATTAGTTCTTTGTCTCCAACATTACAGAAGCTCAACACAGTGACATATTCATCCATGAAAAATTAAAGTATAAAATTAAGTACTTACACATTAATGTGTGACCCAGGCAAGTTCAAAATTTTACTGTCATGTCTGCAGTGTTAGTGTTATCAACTACCAGAGATAATCTGTAGAAACAAAAGCACAGCCTCATGGACTTGTTGTTGGAGGCAAATTCTAAGCTTAGGTTCTAGGTCTGGTTTTTAGAAATACACTTCTAAAGCTGGCACTGTTAATGTGGCTTAATGACTTAAATAACCTGGGTCACACGCTAAAATGTAAGTACCAAAAATTATAGTGTGATGTTTGTGTTACGATTGAAAATGTATAGTTTCTAGTGAAATATCTTGCTACTTGGCAAGTAATATTTTTGTCTGACTGGTGAACTAAGGTAACAATATTCAATTTCATCGTAGGCATTAGCAACTCAAATTTATACCTTTTTCTAGAACTGTCAGGGTAAGATTCATTTTGCGACAGAAAACTAAGAAACAACTATTATGAATTAAATCACTAAATTACGGAGCAAAATATCATGTAGACTGGTCTAGAAGTAACATTCTAGACTCTTATTTGGGTGTTTAGTTGAAAAATCTTAGCCAGGACACGCTGCCTATCCTGAATGAGGTTATCACGGTACTCCTCAGTTCCTATGAGAAAGTGCTAGTATAGTATCCCAATCAGGCCACAACCACTTCCTTCCAAATCCTCTTAAATTCATCATTCATTTATCATCTTACCTTTCGACACCAAGTAATCGGTGATACTAAAAGTGTCACAAAAGAGCAGCAGCAGTAACAAAGACAAGCGTGACAAAAATGGCAAAAGCAAAATGTCAGTCTCAACTGTCATTTACATCACAGGCATAGCGTAGGAGCTCCAGCTGTATTCTACATTTATATTAATATACAAAATTATTTAATAATTGATCACATCCGAAGTACAGGTGTTGCGAGCCTGATTAACACAATCAGATGTTTTACCTATGTAACCAAGATGAAGAACACAAACAAAACAGGGAAGGAGATATATTATTAAAAGAGATAATTAGACAAAATGCACATGTACCTCACTCGGTGCTGCACGAAATCTGTTTCCCACCTCTGCGACACGGGTCGATCTCTACTAGGTGGGGACCCTTGCAGAAGTGCTCCTGAAGTCCCTACACTGATCACAGAAGTTGATGACCCACGTCTTCTTGGACCTGAAACAAAATAAGACTTACATCACAAACCAAGTAGGATAATAAAATATAAAAATTTTTAACACCCTGATTGCCACACCGAATTTTCAAATTGGTTCTTATCAGGCAAAAACCAGCATATCATTTTAGATTAGTTGTAAATATAACTGCTGCATATTTTACTTATGAAATATTAATAAGTGAGTGATTTGGGGCATTTTTCGTTAAGAGTGGATACCAGTGACCAATATGGCATGAGCATAAATTCATCCAAGGTTCATGGATTTTGCTTCATTTTATCCCACTTTCACAGAAAATAGCTGCAGCTGACTGAACCTTTATAAAGGATGCTGCCTACTGCAACAACGAGACTGCGATATGAATTCTATAACATGCCTTCTATCTTATTTCTATTTTGTTATCACTGATGACTCTATAATAAACAGAATGGAAGATCTGTGCGACTCAGAAGTTGCCAGATGGGTCAAACATCACACCACATTCTCAATTACACTCATGGCAACCAACTACAAAAGAAGAGAAAGAAAATCTGTAGGACTCCTTCCATGGATGGGCTTGGTGCAGTTCGCTACTACTGCAGATTACGGGAGCAAAAGTGCCATGTGACACCACATACAGGAAATACAAGGAATCCACCCACAAGTCTCGGATAGGCCATCTGATGAGTCAACCCAGCTTGGACATCTCTCCTCTCTGGATTCCTGTAAGTAAAAATCTACAACTCCATCCAGCATAGATTGAGTGGGAAAATTTGTTTTCCTAATGTTGGTACCATAGTGATGATTTCTATCTTGACAGTTCTCTGGTGCAAGGCATCACATATGTAGAGTTTTTAATGTTTTGTCTTAACTCTCACAGATGGTTTGTGTTGTGCTTGGCTTGTATACCCTGTCTTGGTGCTCCTACAGGTGTTTGGAGATAGGGACTAGCTCTATCGATTGGGCCCAACTGAGTAGGTTTTACCTGCAGACGGAGACAGAATCCAGTCCCTGAAACGTGCTTTGAAATATAAACAGAATAGTGTTTTAGATAAGTATAAGATGATGGATAATGTCCAAAAACATAATATTTGTCATACAAATTCCAGGAACCGATGACCACATGAGATCCCTACAGACCACAGCAGACACATAAGCTCGCCTATAGTACATGTGGCAGTTGAATGCAGTAAAATTTGAGTGTTTAACAGCAGACACCAGTGACTGCTGCAGCAGTAAGGCAAATTTTTCTGCAGCAGACAGTGGTGTCGACTATGGCAGTCAGTGGATTAAAAATCGACATACTTTATTCAAAAACTGTAAACAATAAACACTGCCCTCTAGGTTGAATTTAATTCCATATAACATTTTAAAGAATGTGTTGCAGAAGACCAATAAAGAGATGGAAGGATATCACTGAGATGGTCTCAATCTTTCACATACCATGAGCTCACTCCGTAGAGTGTTTCTGTCAATAGATATAGAATCTGTGGTCATCTGAAGGTAATCTGCAGAATGATTGTGAGTTTCTGTGTACAGCAGCACTCACCCTCAAGCACCCTTGGAATTTCTAGCACGTAGGTCTACAGTGGGGCTTGGCATGGTTCAGGGGATAAATGGTGAAGATGGGAGATGGATGGAAGTATCTCAGAATGATTTTGGCATTAGCAGTGTTGAACCTCTGAGTTCTGCTACCACACAATCAGTTCTTACAAGAGCTTTGATATTGTCACGTGTTGGGTGTATAATGCGACAAATAACTTCACGCCTTGTTGGTTATAGTGAATTTATTCCACTCACTCTTACAATCACACAATTTACAATCTGACAATTACTGCCATCGGCAGTATCACAAATATTACACTGCAAATGCCGGAATACAACTGACTGGTTGCTGGCTAACTCGGAACTAACTTGTAGGTAGCTGCCTTGAGAACTCTCTCGGAACTGACTGTGAATAGCCTTCGCTGCTCCTTATGTAGCCTCGTTCCGGACAACACAGAACATGGCCACGTAATAGGCACCCTTGTTGCCTGGCGCCGTGTTGCTGGCAACGCTGTCCGGAGTTGTTTACTGCTGCCTAGCGACCGCGGTTTCCCTTGATGATGTCAACACTGTTGACTCGCGTTGCATACCTACCAGGATGCTGGGACTCGGCTAACTTCGGCTCCGCTCGGCACGTCACTGCTGGCGGGGGGGGAAGGATGTTGACCTGCCTATTACCATTGCACAACACGTCACAATATCAAATGTCAGTGTAGTTATTTGTATTTACATGTCAAACTCATGAGGCCCTGTATTTAAATCTTGAGCAAGAGACTGGCTATCATGAGGTTTCTTATGAATTACCTCAGTCACTCAAGCAATGCAGAAATATTACCCAAAAACAGTCCATGGTCACTTCATTCCACATCCATCCAAATTCTATCATTTGGCATTATGAAGTTGCAAACACTGTTAACTCTTTGACTACCAAACCTTGCCAGAGAACTACCTGCCAGTAAATGCCCATGCTGCTTTTGGGTGAATGCATCTTCACAGAAAACTACAATACTTTCTCAAATTACCTTCAAATAACCATGGGCACACATAATGTGAAAGTCTGTTCTTTCCTCTGAACATCACTATCTCGCAATGTTCTACTTAAACATCCAGTTGCATTAATATTACACTTTCTTGCATATAGGTAACAAGCAAAACCACAGACAAACATGCATAATCTCCACACACAGACAGCGCAGCAATAAAACTATCCCAGTATGCAGTTGTATCTAGGCAAGTCACTGCAACATATATAAGTACAACAAAACTACAAAACATACTTACTCATGGAGCTGAGCCCTTCTAGAGGAGTGGCCAATTCTGCAGCTACTCATGAATTTCCCAGCATTTTATGGAACATGAAGGTTCATTACAGTGTTCACAAACCCCTCCATTGGTCCCTATCCCAAGCCAGACCAATCCAATCCATACCATCCCATTCTATCCCTCTAAGATCCATTTCAATATTGTCCACACACCTACGCCTTGGTCTTCCCTGTGGTCTCTTTCCTTCTGGCTTTTCCACCAATATCCTACACGCATTCCTTGTCTCTCCCATTCATGCTACATGACCTGCCCACCTCATCCTCCTTGACTTGATCATTCTACTTATACTTTGAGAAGAGTACAAGTTATGAAGCTCCTCATTATGCAGTTTTCTCCAGCATCCTATCACTTCATCCCTCTTCGGCCCAAATATTCTCTTCAACTTTCTCTTCTCAAATACCTTCAGTCTATGTTCCTCCCTTAATGTCAGAGACCAAGTTTCACACCCATACAGAACCACAGGCAAAATTATAGTTTTTTATATTCTAATTTTTATGTTTTTGGATAGCAGACGAGAAGACAAAAGGTTCTTGACTGAATGGTAGCAAGTATTACCCGAGTTCAATCTTTTCTTAATTTCCTCCTGAATCACGTTTTGATTTGTTATCACCGTTCCCAAATATCTGAACTGCACCACAATTTCAAAACATCTGTTTCCTATCTTGATGTCATGATTTTGCCCTGCATTTTGTTGATGAGTCAGAAACTTATACTTAGTTTTCTTTGTGTTTACTTCTAGACCAACCTCCTTACTTGTGTCAATTAAAGCTTATGTGTTTTTCTTTATGGTACCTATATTATCACCAAGTAGATTCACATCATTGCCATAGACCAACAGCTGATGTGTCCCATTTATTTTCAGTCCCACCTGGTTTCCCTGGACGTTCCTAATTGCATATTCTAAGGCAAAGTTGACAAGGAGTGGCAATAAAGCATCTCCTTGTCTTAGACCATTCTGGATAGGAAACTTATAAGACAAATGTTTACCTATATGGAAATAACAAAACTACATAACACAAACAGTAAATGTATAACACAATACATATATACATATATATCTTACATATTGCAGGTAAAGGTAAAGTTATCCCTGTAACGGCTGTGAAGGCCCATAGAGTTGTGAGACGTCGAGGCTCTCACATTTTGTCTAGATAATCAGCTCACAGATGGTGGTAAGTTTGTCAATCCTACAGGCTGGCCACCTTTTGTCCCCAGGAAGATTCCTGGTACTCCTTTATGTTAGAGGCTGAGTTAACCCCAAGGTCATAGTGTGGCTGGAAGGATTAAGTAAATTGGGGGGGAACATCTCATTAGGACTCTAATGCCTCAGCTAACTATGCTACCACATGCCCNATGCAAATATAAACAATGCACAGACAACTATAACCACAGCTATAACATTAAAAGAAACAACAAACAAGTAACATATTATACAACACAATATATTTCTTTACATCGTATTACAGATAACATCCACACTGGGGCACCAAATACAGAGCAACAGAATTTTAATGGATATATTTTAATGAACTCTTAAGAACTATTTCTTCAAACAAATAATTTAAAAAATTATGTTATATAATTAAAATGAAGTATAGACATGTGAAAAACAGAGCATACAGTGAAAAAAAAATTAGCAGGACTCACACATACCTCAATTTGGCTGTATATGGCCAAAACATGTCATAGTAAGATACGATGTATACTAGACAGAAAATGAATGTTGCCTTTAAGATGGTAATATACATATATGAATCACTATATCACATTTCATGAAATCCATGGACTATGTACTATGTGATGAACATCAAGGCAATCTCTTTGGCTGTGGCAGTTGTAATGCAAGTACCCCAATTCAATCTAATCAGGTCATGACATATAAAGCATTAAACAAAAAACATGATCTTTCATTGACTCATTCACTATATTATGCTATATCCTTTCAGATAACATACACGTGTGAATTTCTCTTATGTCCATCAGTAAATGAGACCTGTGGTTTTACCTACAGTAGGTATTTGTTTGGTGCCCTTATACAGAAAATTTTAAATATAGGTTCTTACCTTTTGACTTTCATTTACATTGGAAACAAAATAATTCCTGAAAATCAGCCAGTTTCCAATACAGACAACTTTATGGAATGCAATAATTATATGGGCATAAGTATTTTAAATGCTGGATAAAATATTATGCATCAGTCAAAATTTTATAAAGACTTTTCATCTTGATGTTTATCTAAGATTAACACAATGGAGTCTGTAGGCACGAATATTCATACCACACAGCGGCATCAGACATTTAATTGAACTTTCTGCAAAAATTATGTGTTGATCATAATTTTATCAGTGTCATCAAGGAACTCTATGGGGGATTCCAATGGCATGATTCATACCTTGTCACTAAATTCCATTCAATTTCAGTCACCTCCATCTAACACGTATAATGATGCCCTGAAAAGCAGTACTCAAATACATCACAACTTCAAGAGATGACTTCTTTGATAAAGAAACCTGCATAAATTTAGTAAATGATTTTTTTCTTCATCATGTCAGCTGCCAATAGTCATTACTTACTCATTACTATTAAGAGATAAATTACTGAATAAAACGATATGCGCAAAAATCAGTTTCCCACACAGATCTACTGAGCAGCATGACAGCCACTGAAATAGGAAACACTTTCCAACCATAAATTTGTTAACAGGTGTTACACTGCAATGGGCAGCAATCAAAATCTGCAACTCACCATGACAAGAGGACTGAGCGCTGAACACCGTACTTTCACTTACACCTCTGCTCAGCCCAGCACCGCTTCCAATCTGACATCGAAGTCGCCACCGCCGCACAAGATAGCGCATACGAGACAGTGCAATCACCACTATTGCTGCTATTCTAAAACATAACAACCATGCAATTACTTCTATCTCAAAGGAAATTCTTCAGAACAGAATTCATTACATTTATTGCCTGGCCACTTAGCAAGGTCCACTTCTGAAATGGGAATGTGAATTAGGTTAATAGGCATTCCAAACCACAGCAGGGGCAGGCATGCTCCACATTCATACAGTTTTGATTTTGTCAGAAGCATGTGGAAAAAATCTGTCCAGAATTAAATCTGAGATTCTCCCCTCCCCACAAGTCTGTATTCTAATCCAGTCAAGTGCATTGAAAAGTGAGGTTACAAAGGAGAAAGGTTATATGTAATATTATACCACATGAAGTACAAAGATATATGAATATGAGGGCATTGCTGGAATGATGATTAACAGTGGACAACCAAAAGTACTATTATGAAGACGTGCTCTAGTGACTTTTGGAATAAATCTGCTGTGGACTGGTCTGGGATTAAAATGGTCTCTGTAGGGAGAATTTAGCATTCATCTATTAGTGAATTTCACAAAGCATATACAGCAGATGTGTAAAAATTTGTGCAATGTGTACTGCACTGTTTATTGTACTGCTACTTGAATAGAGTGCAAGGGGTTTGGTGAGGGGCAAGGCTGTGCCACAGCTCAAGCGGTTAGTCGCTGGCTTCCTACCGTGGTGGCCCAGGTTCGATCCCAGGTCTTGTCAAGTGGGATTTGTGGTGGACAAAGTGCGCTGGGGCGGGTTTCTCCAAGTACTTCGGTTTCCCTTGCCAATCTTCATTCCACCAAATTCTCCATCATCATAATCACCTGGGGCAGGATACAATAGGCCAATCAGTGGCCACCATGCTGAGTGGAAGCAGTTGGGCTCCACCTCCCACTAAGCGAATTAATTAATTGGTGAGGGGCATGTCTGCATTTCACTTTCTCATCATACTGAACCAGCATCCCACACAAAAGCATGAGACTGTCCTTAGAAGTAATGCATGCATAAAACAATGACTGCTCGATAAAAATAAGACAGGGTCAAGACATGTATGACATGTGCAGAGAGAAACAGGCATGGAATGGCATGTGTGATTAATCACAAATTAGTTAAGTGCAAGCTGCAACAGGACAGAGCAATGGTATATGGTGAAACAGCAGCCAACAATGCAAAACTGACATCAAGCTCATAAGTGGTTACAGACAGGAAAACACTAACTGTCTGCAACAATATAAACATTAAAGTATAATATGTCACATATGTATGATGGGCAACAAAAAACAAACTTTGTGGCTTTAGTCTGCAAGCAAACTATACTGACCAAGTGACCGCTTTTTGTCGGCGAAGTTACTGCAAACTTTAGCACATAGAGAGTGCCACATGGTCAGCGCAACAAATCCCCATGGCCGCTAATTTCAGTTTTCCAGACCGGAGCCGCTACTTTTCCATTCACATAGCTCCTCAGTTATCCTCACGAAGCTGAGTGGACCCTGTTCCAGACCCACTACTTCTCAGAATATCTGGTAGCTCCGTGAATCAAACCTAGGACCTCTGCATCTGTTGCCAGGAACTCTGACCACTAGACCATAGAGGCAGTCCCTGATGGACAACAGAGGATGTTAATTTTAAAATTGCACAACTTACTTAAACCTTGTCCTCGGTTTCTTCAGATAGGCAGAGTGCTTCTGGTGACGCATAGTTCCTTGTACACCAGGCAGCTTTTCCAAGCCACTCATAATAATCGCTTCTCTCACTTGATATCCATGAAGAACACCAAGGAGGTACCTCTTTTGCCATACTAGAGCCTTGCGATAGCTTTCAGCCCGCAGATACCTCCCATTAAAGTACTTCACCTGCAAAGATATGATTTAAATTCATTAAGTTGTTTCTGATTTTGTGATCCAGAGTGTTAACATGGCATAACTACATATGACTCCTTGGTGGAGGTACGAAATTCGCTTTTTTGTGTAGAGAATAAAACCTGATATATGCAAAACAGTTTCATTAAATTAATTATTAACTAAGATATCTGTCATGGATAAAGGAACTGTGGCTCACGTCCAAATTTAAAGTACATGATGACCCTGTCAGATCTCCCCCAATTCAGACAATCACTGTGGGAATACAGAATATAATCTGTGCCAACAGAAAGAGAAACTCAAAGAATTCCTTTAGATGTTTTCGATGATGCCACTTCATCCACTGTGTGCCGCTATAACTACCAAAAATGTAATGGCGTTTCCTCAGGAGCAAGTGCAAACTCTTATGTAGTATTTGGATATGAAATCCTTAATTATGGTGTAAAGAAATTATCATCAGGTGTACAGAGGTGATGTGCCTGGCAACATGTAACCTCATCAGAAAACAAGATGCTTGGAAGGAAGCTGGGGTACATGTTGATATGTTGCTGCATGTCAACAGCAAACTTCCATCAATACGGGCAATCTGCACTCCGTATGCAAACAGGTACAGTCATTTCAGTGGAACTCTGCAATGCCATACATAGTAACTGCAGTTACCTGGACACCTCATACACAGATTTATTGAGGCTTCTCTGCAATGCATGACACACTAGTTTGTCCCTCTTGCCAGGAATACTCTAACGTGCATCTCGAGATCTCCCTGTCAGCAATAACAAGACAAACTAGGCCTTGATGATTTTATTATCTGGTAACTACAATGCCACACATGGACACACTTTCATAAAATGAAGGGACCTGTAGGAACCTCCCACAGTGTACCGAAAGCAGGCGATATTTGTATGCTACAGCTTGCGGCCTGGTTGTCTGTACATCCACACAAGCACGACCCAATCAGCACTCATAACTGCAGCTCCACCACCAAATGGTCTGCGCTCAGCCCAGTGGTATTGGCAGAAAAATGTGGGCCTCCAACAGGCTAGCATCAGTCACATTGGTCGCTGCTACACTGCCATCAAGAGATCACAGCAGCTGCACCTCTCAAGTAGAGCACCTAACTGACTCTGCTAGGGCATGCAACATAGTAAGCTGACTCTGCTGGTGCACGCACTGTAGCTCAGCCCGTCAGCCAGTCTCACCGCTATCCTCTTAGCTCGCAATAACTCAGCAGAAGCAAAGGAAGAACATGGGGCTGCCATAAGGGAGCACACCGCGCTTGTTAGCTTGCCCCAGTGGAGGATAAATAAACGGCACTTTTAGGGGCCTCCCCTCAGCAGTGTCATCACTACACTGGGCCAACCTCTATGAAAGGGTCTCCACCAGTATTCTTCACACACTCCCCACACATCTGTAATACCCATTCTAAGCATAACAAACATTTGTTGTTATAGTTTCAAGTGATTGTCTTAGTGAACATCCCCCAGACCCAACAGGGTAGGTGTCTTCCCGTCAGCCGAGGATGGAAACAGATTCAGCTAAAATGTCAAAACTTTAAGTTCTTAATTAATGTATAGAGCATGTGTACAGAAGTTGTGGTGACCGAAATTAATATGATTGGTAAGATTTGAGGTTTTCATGGTGGTGACATTGAAGAATGCCGTTATCTGGGATATGGCACCATGTACATCTTGTGTGAATCACAAGATTTCTTTTATATGGTAGTGAACTACCATCTGTAATTCCAAATGTATCTGAAAGAATGTCATATTCTGGGATGTGGCACTGTGCAGATCTAGTGTGAATCACAAGATCTACATGGTGCCACATCCCAGAAGACAGCAGTCTTTCAAATACGATTAGAATTACTGATGGTAGTTCAATACAATATAAAACAAATTACACATTCTTTACAAACTTATACTTTATACATCATACTTTATGAAAAATGATGGATCATTTAAATAAATGGACTAAGAGCATTCATAAAAGCCACCTTCTTGAAACACAACGTCTGTAGATATGCAGTTACCATCTAAGGAACATGTAAGAACTCACTCTGTCACTACTGTCAGCACCATCATCTGTTCTGAAGCCATGAACATCAGCTTCAGCTTTTGCCATTGCCAATTTGAAAGAAGCCTTCTTTTGAGCACATAATGCTCTCTGTGCAGCAAATGCCACATGTTCTTCATCTGTTTCGTCAGCTGCCTAAAATGACACAAAGCATATCTGTAAGTGGCAAAACACAATATTCACTAGCTATTTAATAATAATTGAAGTTCTGTGTATGGAATGAAAATACATGACAGTTCAAAATTTACTAACACAACTAAGAGACATAGGCATAAATTAAATTATAATATTAAAACAGATCTTACAGAACTATGGTGTGAACTTGTAAACTAACCTGGGTTGGAAGAAAACAGATTTCTAAATAATAAATTCTGAAGAGAGATTTTGCATTATGGAGTCAGTTACTTAGCCATGCATATACCCAAGAGTAGTCTCTAACGCCTCTGGTAGATGGGGGAAGCATCGAGATACCGCTGAGCCAGTAGAGGCCGAACTCGCTGGCTGAGTCGGGACTGATGGTACGCACCAGTACCGGCAGAGTATAGAGACTGGTAGAATATCACAGGACACACAATGGACCAATACTGGTCTAAGTGCATGGGGAAACCCACCCTCTCCAATAACAACAACAACAACCCTGCATTTGCCAAGCCACCCCCAAGAACTGCCTGCTAGAAATACCAAGGATACTTGGAGATAGATGCCATTGCACAGGAAAACCAACAATACTTCCTGAAATAACCTTCAGGCAACCACAGCTACAGATAATGAGAAAGCATGTTACTTCCTCTAAATATCAGTATGTCATACATGATGCCACCTATTGACAGAAATGCTATACTAATTAACGAGAAGTCATACTCCTTGGATGTGACAGCTTAATGCAGTTATTCCATATGACCTAACCACCTAGTGTCAATCAAAGGGCTAATAAACTCTGGGCCGAAACTCACAGTACTAGAAGAGAACTGAAAAAAGCACTATGGCTTCAAAAATCTAGAATTCTTTGACATTTCATTCATTCTTTGATTTTCATTACATCGTGAATTATCATACAATATGTGGACATCCACAACATATTATAAAATTCCTATATGGCAACTCAGTGTGTAATGGTCTGCAGAAGTGAACTCCATTATCTGTGGCAGTACGACACACTTCGGCATGCTGTTGCCATACAGAGCAAGGGTTGTGTACTTACAGGGCTACAGACCAAGAGAGTGTGTGAGTTTCATGCACACACATCTGAGGACAATGCTCAAATTTTACACTCCCAGCAGAAGGATGATACAAGAACCAAAACCTGCTGAAGGAAGGCATAGGAATCAAAGACACATTGTATAAGACTGGGTGACATGAAAGGCAGGCTGAAAAACATTCCCTCAAAGAGGTGTAGCAGTAACTGTCACTAGTACAGCATGTGTACAGCACACAGCGTTTTGAATACAACCACAGGAGATCTGTGCAATGTGGATCCAAACTGTAATAAAACTATCGCATCATTATGTTGTCTGAGCATAGATTAGGGCAACATGACTGTCTGCCATACTGATAAGGAAGGTGTGGCTATGGTTAAGCTGAAGAGGAGGGCACATCCAAATATTGTATATTGTAACATATTGTTTCTATTGATTTGCTGTGGCCACAGCAGGTACTGATAGGGTACAGTAAGTTCTGAAATGCCCCTTTCATTCAGAATACAGTACTTATGGAACAATTTCACAAATATGAATGTAAAGTACTACCTTTACCTTAAGTGCAATACTGAGGTGCTCCTCTAGTTCCTCAATTCGGGCCTGAAAGCGCTGGCACTCCTCTATCAGCTGAAACAGCATTTGAGTCACTTCAACTTTTTCTGTCTTATGCTGCTCCAGCATCGTGTTTACATTCTGAACCACAGATACAATTATATAATGGGACACTATACACATACAAGAGTTTTATTTCTATTTACTCAGTATATAAATAATACATTATAACCTCAATGAAAATTCATTAGACTAATACTACTATTCAGCCATTTTCCCTAAAAATATGATTGTCACCAATCATTCTTTCATTCATTCATTCATTCATTCATTCATTGTATATTCCATAAATCCATATACATAGATATAGAACCAGTCACATAGTTAATACAGTACAATACAATTATAAATATATATGTACAGCTTAAATCATTATAATAGATAAAAAACATGTGTTAAATTTACAGACTTACATCACTATACATAAAATTATGCAATATTAAAATTGTTTATGCTATTATCCTTATTTCTAGGCAAATTTGTCACTAAAGAATTCATCACATGTATAAAAAGAGGTTTGCAATAAAAATGTTGTTAACTGAATTTTAAAATTTTTCAAGTCATTAGACACAGATTTGATTTTTGGTGGCAAATGATTAAAGATCTTTACCCCCATGTAATATATTCCTTTTTGGAATTGTGTTAGACTAGTTTGCGGATAATGCAGATCACAGTGCACCGCGCCCTTTGGCTTCTTCTCCTCCTGATTATTATTATATTATTATTATTACGAAGAGGAAGGGCACAGCACAATTGTTACTGGCCCTATTGTTGGTTCCCATGCTCACCAAGATGGACATGGGGTACCCAAGCTAGGAGGAGGAAGCTACACTCAGTTCGTTGGCTTAGATAAGAACAAATACAATTTTAATAAAAAAATATATAACAATACATAAATAACAAATGACACATTTGACCAAGAAACTAATGCAAGCTCATTTTAGAACAAAACATTTTCCCGTTGGCACCACTTGTGTCGACACTAGACATATTAGGACGTTAAACACTCAGGCTATACAAACACAAGTTTAACTCTGAGGAAAAAAAAAAATACCAAACCAAATCTAATAACGCGCGTCGCAAGCGTTCAAGCAACGGCTTGCGACCGCAGGCAGTCCTTACCGGCCAGCCAGATAGCACCAAAAGGGAATTTAGAACAAACCCAGCCGAAACCAATATTTTCCACAACAAACCTGCTGGCTAGTAACCGACCTTCCAAGTCAACTTGGTCTACACGACTGCACTGTACAAGTCTCCCCTTCACGAGAGGGTACATGGGACCATGTGACTGACGTCAGGATACTGCATAGTGGGGATGGAATCCATCATGGGAAACATGATGACATCATACATGAGCGGCTCAACAGATAGATCTGGTACTATAATTATGCATTTGTGAGTTGAATGTGAACAATTACTTATTTACTATAACAAACAGGGAAATCGACAATATATATTGAGCTTGTAGGGGGAGGATATCCAATGCTTGAAACAAGCTACGACACGATGTTCTCTTTGTTGTACTTGTTATAATCCTGATTATCCTTTTCTGCATCCTAAACACTTTTATACTATGCGGGGAGTTACCCCAGAATATTAATCCATACATTATTATAGAATGTACATAGGAAAAATACATAATTTTTAACGTCTCCAGTGGTAAAAAGGATTTAACTGATCGGATTGCAAAACAGGATCTGTTTAACTTATCAATTACTGCATCAATATGACTTTCCCACGTTAAAAAATTTTCAATTTTTAATCCCAGAAACGATATATTAGAAATACTTGGAATTTGATTGTTTAAATAACTAACTTGAACATTTAAGTTTTTACTGTTTTTAGTTCTAAACTGTAGAAAATAAGTTTTTTCATAATTTATTACTAGCTCATTTTTCCTAAACCATTCATTTATCATCTCAAATAATTTATTTATTCTAATTTTAAATGTCGCAGGATTCTTATCAAAGATAAGGATACTTGTATCATCTGCAAATAATATTGGTTTGGATAGGTCAGATATAATTTTTGGTAAGTCATTTACATATAGTAAAAAGAGCACTGGGCCTAATACAGAGCCCTGAGGCACTCCGCACTGTATTTCTTTCCATTCAGAACAACATTTACTCCCGTTTTCATACAAAATTATTCTCTGGTATCTTCCTCTCAAATAGGATCTCATAAGTTTCTGAGCAGCTCCTTCAATTCCATAAAAGTCCATTTTTGATAGCAATATATCATGATTTACTCGGTCAAAAGCCTTACTCAGATCACAAAAAATTACACCCGCTATATATTTGTTGTTTAAAGTCCTATATATATTCTTCATTAGATTATAAGTAGCTAATGTAGTTGAAGAGTTTTTTCTAAAGCCGAATTGCTCTTGGACATCATTTGTTATATAAATATTATGGTGAAATCAAGCTGTCTCTATATATTCATATCATAACATGAGATACAATAACAATAAACTCAAACTGTATCAGACATATTTGATAGCAAACATCTAACACAGGGAAGTTTAGTGCATTACAAGCTCCCAATCTGCAGACCTGAATATACGACACAAAGAAAATAAGCAGTTTGAAAAATTATTTCTAAGATATTCTAATACAGGATGTCATTTCTGTCATCTGCAAGTATAAGATTTGTGAAACTTCTTTGTTATTAAACACAAATATATATATGAGACATTCATACAATGTTATACACATTTCAGACGTTTGTTCCTTGTACAGAAACATGTTCATGTGATGTCATTACATTACTTACGTGTCAATGTAGGCAGCATTACCGACATTTCAGAGGTATATATTGCCTCCATCTTCAGGGTCAAAGTGGGCAGGATGAGTGAATTTGTGTATAAATACATTTATGCTGCAAAAGAACCATGGGGGAGGGGCCCCATCCAGACCCACAGGAACAGAGTAGAGAGAAAGTTATGGATGCTCCTTGGGAAACTATTAGGGAAAATATCAAAATTTCTGCCAAGGAGAGTCTAGGTTATTATGAACTGATGAAGCATAAGCCATGGTTTGATGATGGATGCTCAAAATTATTAGACCAAAGAAAACAAACCAAACTGCAATGGTTACAGGATCCAAGCGAAATAAATGGGGATAATCTGAACAATTATAAGTCGTGAAACCAACAGGCATTTCAGGAATAAAAAGAGGGAATTTCTGAAAGACAAAATTGATGAGCTTGCAATGAACAGTAAGAACAAGAACATTAGAAACCTGTGTAGAGGAATAAATTACTTTAAGAGGGGTTACCAACATAGAAGTCCCCACTCTTTTTCAACTTTGATTTAGAATATGCCTTTAGGAAGGTCCAGGAAAACCAGGTCTACATGGCGCCACATCCCAGAAGACAGCGTTCTTTCAAATACGATTAGAATTACTGATGGTAGTTCAATACAATATAAAACAAATTACACATTCTTTACAAACTTATATTTTAAACACCATACTTTATGAAAAAGATGGATCATTTAAATAAGTGGACTAAGAGCATTCATAAAAGCCACCTTCTTGAAACACAACGTCTGTAGATATGCAGTTACCATCTAAGGAACATGCAAGAACTCACTCTGTCCCTAGTGTCACCACCATCATCTGTTCTGAAGCCATGAACATCAGCTTCAGCTTTTGCCATTGCCAATTTGAAAGAAGCCTTCTTTTGAGCACATAATGCTCTCTGTGCAGCAAATGCCACATGTTCTGCATCTGTTACGTCAGCTGCCTAAAATGACACAAAGCATATCTGTAAGTGGCAAAACACAATATTCACTAGCTATTTAATAATAATTGAAGTTCTGTGTATGGAATGAAAATACATGACAGTTCAAAATTTACTAACACAACTAAGAGACATAGGGATAAATTAAATTATAATATTAAAACAGATCTTACAGAACTATGGTGTGAACTTGTAAACTAATTTGAGTTGGAAGAAAACAGACTTCTAAATAATAAATTCTGAAGAGAGATTTTGCATTATGGAGCCAGTTACTTAGCCACGCATATACCCAAGAGCAGTCTCTAACGCCTCTGGTAGATGGGGGAAGCATCGAGATACCGCTGAGCCAGTAGAGGCCGAACTCGCTGGCTGAGTCGGGACTGATGGTATGCACCAGTACCGGTAGAGTACAGAGACTGGTAGAATATCACAGGAGGACACACAATGGACCAATACTGGTCTAAGTGCATGGGGAAACCCACCCTCTCCAATAACAACAACAACCCTGCATCTGCCAAGCCACCCCCAAGAACTGCATGCTAGAAATACCAAGGATACTTGGAGATAGATGCCATTGCACAGGAAAACCAACAATACTTCCTGAAATAACCTTCAGGCAACCACAGCTACAGATAATGAGAAAGCATGTTACTTCCTCTAAATATCAGTATGTCATACATGATGCCACCTATTGACAGAAATGCTATACTAATTAACGAGAAGTCATACTCCTTGGATGTGACAGCTTAATGCAGTTATTCCATATGACCTAACCACCTAGTGTCATTCAAAGGGCTAATAAACTCTGGGCCGAAACTCACAGTACCTAGAAGAGAACTGAAAAAAGCACTGTGGCTTCAAAAATCTAGAATTCTTTGACATTACATTCATTCTTTGATTTTCATTACATCGTGAATTATCATAAAATATGTGGACATCCACAACATATTACAAAATTCCTATATGGCAACTCAGTGTGTAATGGTCTGCAGAAGTGAACTCCATTATCTGTGGCAGTACGACACACTTCGGCATGCTGTTGCCATACAGAGCAAGGGTTGTGCACTTATAGTGCTACAGACCAAGAGAGTGTGCGAGTTTCACACACACAGATCTGAAGACAATGATCAAATTTTACACTTCCAGCAGAAGGATGATACAAGCCCCAAAACCTGGTGAAGGAAGGCTTAGGAATCAATGATACACTGTATAAAACTGGGTGACATGACAGCCAGGCAGAAAAACCACATTCCCTCAAAGAGGTGTAGCAGTAACTGTCACTAGTACAGCATATGTACAGCACACAGCATTTTGAATACGCCCACAGGAGATCTGTGCAATGTGGATCCAAACTGTTATAAAACTGTCGCATCATTATGTTGTCTGAGCATAGATTAGAGCAACATGACTGTCTGCCATACTGATAGGGAAAGTGTGGCTGTGGTTAAGCTGAAGAGGAAGGCACATCCAAATATTGTACGAGGGGGTACCCAAAAGAAACCGAACTTATTTTTTTTTAAACTTATTTATTCAAATTTTAAGCATAAACCTTCAATCCCCTTCAAAGTACTCTCTACTTACACTAATACACTTGTCTAGTCTTTTATTCCATTTTTCAAAACATTGTCTAAATTCATCTTTTGAGATGCTTGACAGCGCCTCCGTCGTTTTTTCCTTTCATGTCACTTTTCATTCAAGGAAACAAAAAAATGTCGCACGGGGCAAGGTCGGGTGAGTATGGAGGTGAGAAACAGGGGTCATACCATTTTTGGTCAAGAACTGTCGTACAGACAGGGCTGTGTGAGCAGGGGCATTGTCATGATGGAAAAACCAGTCACCCGACTGCCACAAATCTGGCCGCTGAGCTCCAAGTCACTCCCGACAGCTCCACAATTTCTTCAATGGTCCGTTGTCAATCTTCCTTGATGATTTCACGAATTTTTTCAACTTTTTCGTGTGTTCGGGCCGTGGAAGGATGACCAGAACGAGGTTTGTCATCAATTGACATTTCACCATTTTTGAAACGGGAAAACCACTCAAACACTTGAGTTTTCCTCATAGAATCGTCCTTGTACGCCGTTTTTAACATTTCAAGAGTTTCTGTTCCACTTTTCCCGAGCAAAAAGCAGAATTTCACTGCCGCACTCTGTTCACGAAAATCAGCCATTGCAAAAACGATGATCACACAAAACAGTTGTCACTATAAACTCTGCCGAAACTAGTCCTTACCTTCTGAAGCAACGGTAGTCGACTTATCGACTCAGGAATGTTAGCTCTATGCGCTCATAGCAGCAAAACGCGGTACTACAAAAGCTCTGCCAATAAAAAAATTAGTTCGGTTTCTTTTGGGTACCCCATCGTATATTGTAACATATTGTTTCTATTGATTTGCTGTGGCCACAGCAGGTACTGATAGGGTACAGGTAAGTTCTGAAATGCCCCTTTCATTCAGAATACAGTACTTATGGAACAATTTCACAAATATGAATGCGAAGTACTACCTTTGCCTTAAGTGCAGTACTGAGTTTCTCCTCTAGTTCCTCGACTCGGGCCTGCAAGCACTGGCGCTCCTCTGTCAACTGAGACAGTGTTTGAGCCAACTCCGCACTTTCTGTCATATGCTGCTCCAGCATTGCGTTTACATTCTGAACCACAGATACAATTCTATCATGGCACACTATACACATACAAGAGTTTTATTTCTATTTGCTTAATATATAAATAATACATTATAACCTCAATGAAAATTCATTAGACTAAACCTACAATTCAGCCATTTTTTTCTTAAAAATATGATTTTGTCACCCTATTTTTGGACATCATTTGTTACATAAATATTATGGTGAAATCAAAGAACCAACACAGTAGGTGTCTTCCCGTCACCCAAGGATGGAAACAGATTCAGCTAAAATGTCAAAACTTTTAAGTTATTTATTAATGTATACAGCATCTGTACAGAAGTTGTGGTGACCGAAATTAATATGATTGGTAAAATTTGAGGCTTTCATGGCGGTGACTATGAAGAATGCCATCATCTGGGATATGGTACCATGTAGATCTTGTGTGAATCACAAGATCTACATGGCGCCACATCCCAGAAGACAGCAGTCTTTCAAATACGATTAGAATTACTGATGGTAGTTTAATACCATATAAAACAAATTATACATTCTTTACAAACTTATACTTTATACATCATACTTTATGAAAAATAATGGATCATTTAAATAAATGAACTAAGAGCATTCATAAAAGCCACCTTCTTGAAACACAACGTCTGTAGATATGCAGTTACCATCTAAGGAAAATGCAAGAACTCACTCTGTCACTACTGTCAGCACCATCATCTGTTCTGAAGCCATGAACATCAGCTTCAGCTTTTGCCATTGCCAATTTGAAAGAAGCCTTCTTTTGAGCACATAATGCTCTCTGTGCAGCAAATGCCACATGTTCTGCATCTGTTACGTCAGCTTCCTAAAATGACACAAAGCATATCTGTAAGTGGCAAAACACAATATTCACTAGCTATTTAACAATACTTGAAGTTCTGTGTATGGAAAGAAAATACATGACAGTTCAAAATTTACTAATACGACTAGAGATATAGGCATAAATTAAATGATAATATTAAAACAGATCTTACAGAACTATGGTGTGAACTTGTAAACTAACCTGAGCTGGCAGAAAATAGATTTCAAGGTTCTACAACAAGATGCAGAACTGAAAAATTAATAAATTCTGAAGAGAGATTTTGCATAATGGAGTCAGTTACTTACCCACGAATTTACCCAAGCAACTGATAACCTTATTATATGCTTGAATTCCAACCAACCAAATCTTCCTTCATTAGTTGACAGCACTTCGGTTGGAAAAAAAGTTCAATTTTTGTAAAAATTCAAAGCTCACTATTTGTTTGTATTAAATCCTAGTAAATATTATCCTGAGCTAGTTCAATGCAGTTTGCTCTTCACAACCTATTTCTCCATTTTATTAACCCTTCATCTGACAAGCCAACCCCACCAATATGCTAGTGTCATGCAAAGGGCTAATAAACTCTGGGCTGAAACTCACAGTACCTAGAAGAGAACTGAAAAAAGCACTATGGCTTCAAAAATCTAGAATTCTTTGACATTACATTCATTCTTTGATTTTCATTACATCGTGAATTATCATAAAATATGTGGACATCCACAACATATTACAAAATTCCTATATGGCAACTCAGTGTGTAATGGTCTGCAGAAGTGAACTCCATTATCTGTGGCAGTACGACACACTTCGGCATGCTGTTGCCATACAGAGCAAGGGTTGTGTACTTACAGGGCTACAGACCAAGAGAGTGTGTGAGTTTCATGCACACAGATCTGAAGACAATGATCAAATTTTACACTTCCAGCAGAAGGATGATATAAGCACCAAAACCTGGTGAAGGAAGGCTTAGGAATCAATGATACACTGTATAAAACTGGGTGACATGAAAGCCAGGCAGAAAAACCACATTCCCTCAAAGAGGTGTAGCAGTAACTGTCACTAGTACAGCATATGTACAGCACACAGCGTTTTGAATACGATTACAGGAGATCTGTGCAATGTGGATCCAAACTGTAATAAAACTATCGCATCATTATTTTGTCTGAGCATAGATTAGAGCAACATGACTGTCTGCCATACTGATAGGGAAGGTGTGGCTGTGGTTAAGCTGAAGAGGAGGGCACATCCAAATATTGTATATTGTAACACATTGTTTCTATTGATTTGCTGTGGCCACAGCAGGTACTGATAGGGTACAGTAAGTTCTGAAATGCCCCTTTCATTCAGAATACAGTACTTATGGAACAATTTCACAAATATGAATGTGAAGTACTACCTTTGCCTTAAGTGCAGTACTGAGTTTCTCCTCTAGTTCCTTGACTCGGGCCTGCAAGCGCTGGCGCTCCTCTGTCAGCTGAGACAGTGTTTGAGCCAACTCCGCACTTTCTGTCATATGCTGCTCCAGCATCGCATTTACATTCTGAACCACAGATACAATTCTATCATGGCACACTATACACATACAAGTTTTATTTCTATTTGCTCAATATATAAATAATACATTATAACCTCAATGAAAATTCATTAGGCTAAACCTACAATTCAGCCATTTTTCTTAAAAATATGATTTTGTCACCCTATTTTTGGACATCATTTGTTACGTCAATATTACGGTGAAATCAAAGTGTCTCTATATATTCATATCATAACATGAGCTATAATAACAATAAACTCCAAACCACATCAGACATTTCTGATAGCAGGCATCTAACAAAGGGAAGTTTAGTGCTTTACAAGCTCCCAATCTGCAGACCTGAATATGCGACACAAAGAAAATAAGAAGTATGAAAAATTATTTCTAAGATATTCTAATACAGGATGTCATTTCTGTCATCTGCAAGTATAAAATTTGTGAAACTTCTTTGTTGTTAAACACAAATGTATGAAATACAATTTCTTTATTAAAACCGTCACACAATACGTATTATTGTGTTGAGACAGTTTTAAGAAGGAAATTGTATATTATGACACAACAGGATGCATGATATGGAAAAAAAAAAAATGTATGAAACTTTCATACATTGTTCTACACACTTCAGACATTTGTTCCTTTTACAAAAACAAGTTCCACGAAGAGAAAAACTATTCAGAACCTTGACTGGAGTTCCCGTACAAATGGCTTCAATCTCTGAATGGGATGCAGTTTTTAGTTCCAGAATTCTATGCAGATTTTTCTGAATCATTCAAGTACCTCCACAGAAAATAATCACAAGGGTTTCAGTCCTGTGATGTTGATGCCACGAAAATCTTTCCCCAAACAGTGCAAAATATCGGTTTCATAGAACTGTCTCCTTGAAAACATCACAAAGCAAAATATGGAATTGCTGGTACGAGGTCTGACATCACCTCACTGAAACCAGGCTTAATTTATTGGCATGCCATATTCCATCAGGAAAGGGATCAGAATAAGGCAAATATCAGAAGTTAATGCATCATCGGCAAACACGGGACTGAGTATTCCGACACTTGATAATGTACACTGCACTGTGTCAAATGGCTCTCCACACTTAACAAAAAAACCACCAGGAGAGTAAAAGGTGTTGGTAACCAATTTCCGACCATCCCATCTGACACCGCCCTGTTACCCATTTCATGCAACTGCATTAAAAAACATATAACTTTCATAAATTTTAAAGTGCCAGATGATAAAAAAAATCCCTGCAACATTTGGCACAGCCAGTCAAAGTCAATGCTATGCTATGACCAATGATCAGTAGGCCAATCTGTTTTGGTGTCAAGCCCATCTGGGGCCCACGACCTCATTTTTGTTAATGTCAGTCAGTTGCACGTTTTTGATGCTGGTCAATCGGTTAGCTAGAGTAAGAGTTGCTTCACAACTGACAAACTACATACTACTAAAACCAATACATTCGAGCTCATGGCCTCATTATATGGACTTGGAGCAAACTGCATAGGAAACAACACTTCCAATGGTTCATCTATTGCTGTGTGTGTATTTGTGGCAGTGGGAACATGTTTACCGAGCCACTCCCTAGCAACAACTGTCTCTTCCAGCTCCAGTATTTCGTCTCTCAGATGTCGTGTCACAATATAAAATAAAGACTCCATAGTTCCCAATATATCTGCATGTTTCATTTCAAGGTTCAGAGCATTCAACAGACAGAAATATGCTCACAGTAAAATGAGGAAGAGTTTACTGTGACTTCACTCTAAATAATCAAGCTGCAGCAGTAGTTATATTTTAAAGTGAATGCACATTACATCAGGACACAGTTAATGATTTACAGTGTACAAATATTCTGATATTATTTTCTTATAATGTTAATACAATACTAAACTTTCAAGAGTTTTAATTACAAATACTGCTGTACAAGAAATTTTGCACTGGGGATAATCCATGTCTCCTCCCCTATACACTGAAACTATTTCAAACCTTTACCAAAAATCTGTCACAGAATTCAGTAACAACAAGGATTTAAATTTCACTTCAACACAGTGGTAAATGCTTTGTGAAAAAAGCCTTGACATGTTTTACTCCTCTTTCAAATCTAAGTTCTGGAATGTTTCTTATTGAAAGAATACTGCCTGATCTAATTTAACCTAAATATGGACAACATGAAGAAGTAGAAAGAAAATAGCCAATCTCTTTTAATCAATTTTATGATGCTTACCTTCAGTTTGTCCACAACAGGTGATAAAACTCTGGATGAAGACGACGGTTCCCGTGATAACTGCTGTTCCCTAACTTTGCTGCCCTCCATGTGCTGTCTCAGCTTCTCCACTTCATGTCTCAACTGAGCAATGTCCTGGTCCAGTTCCGCAGCCTCTACCTGCTCCTTCCTCTCATGTAGCTCCTGCTTCAGCCTTGACACTTCCCGCTCCAGGTCCACTATCTTCTGCTCCAGACCAAACTGAAACAATAGGAAGATGGTCTCCATACCCTTCCTTCTCCTCACTACATGATTCGGCCAGATACAGACACCATCAGGTGCCTCTATTTGCTAGAACTGTTTCACTGCATAGTACGTGCAACTTCACCTATCACGTGTAAATATGATGCCTCACACTTAAAATAAATGTACCCTATTAAAAATCAAACAAAGCCTAATTACGATTTCAATATTGTGTAATGCCACCTAAAAGTGGATTATCTGTCAGAGTGGGTGTCCATTGCTAGAAAACGGCTTGAAGCCATGTTCCTGCAGCGTTGTCTTGGTGACAAACACATTATGCGATAATGCATACTGTGACAAGCGGCCTGATAGCCACAACCTGCACATCCGCTTGGCGGAGCTTCATGGGGCACATTCCTGTGATAACACAAAATACACAGTTACCCTGGGTTTTGATGGAGCTATGAGAGACATATTCAGGGTAATGAGATTCTAAACCATGGACATGACAAAATCAAACGCTTCAAGGAGGTGATTCCTATCCCATCCGCCTAGCAGGAATAAAGTGAGAGCAGTTCAGAGTTCAGTTCTTAAGAGAGGTTAGAGGTTTGTATCAGTGCAACAGGACGCTAAAATATAACGAGGTTAGAATTGCGGCCAAGAGTTTAGAAGCAAAGTTCAGAGTTCAGAGCTCAGGAGTGAAGATCAGAGAGGTCAGAACTGAAGGCATAGAAAAGAAGTGAGATAAGAGTCCAAAAGACCAGAGGTGCAAGATGCAGACAACAGTGAGGGATTTGGTATCTGGAAATAGTTGAATGTGTGAATTATTGTAACCGAGTGTAAATGTGTTAATAATGTCCAATTAACCCAATAATTAAAACTAAGAATCCACAATTATTTGCCACGGAACCCTGGACACATGACAATTTCTGCTTCAGGGCTGTCATCCTTTCATTCAATTATCATTGTGTTTTGATTTGTTTCACAGTGGCATGGGTGTTGTGCACATGTAGTTCCCAATTGTGTTGGTGCAGTTATCATGTATGGCACTTTGACTGTGTTCTTTGCCCTGCCTGTTAGTAGCTCTGTATTCTCTTGGTGTATATAGACCTTATGGTATGGTGCGTGAATAAAGAGTATAGAAGGTGTATCCACAAAATAAGCTCCATTTGCAAACACTGCCATTGCAGCACTGCAGTCACTATGGTGCACATGCATGAAGAATTGGTTGGCCATTTTGGAAGGCATGGGTGCCATCTGCAGACAATCAAACCACATTTACTCATCATTCTGTGTTTACATTGTTCAAGAAAATTGAGAAGCCTGCCACACGTGAAATGAGGTCTGTAATCCATTTCTTGAAAGCAAGAAACCTAAAACTGGCTGACATTCATTGTCAACTTTGTGAGGTATGAAGAACATCTCATAAGTCAGTCAATGGCAAGGAGATGGGTGAGGCACTTTAATGAAGGACGCGAGAATGTGCATGATGATCAGTGTAGTGGCTGATCATATGTGGTTAATGAAAATTTGATGCATGCAGGGGAAAAGAAGATTCAAGAGATCAGACGATTCACCATTTCATAACTTTGTGACTTTCATCACTTCTTCCCGAAATTGTGTCTATAAACTTCATTTCTCAAATTGTGTTCATGCTGGGTGCAGAAGATGATTACAGATGAACACAAAGTGAATCAGCAGGCCAGTGCATTGACCTTTCTGACATAATACAGTGAGCAAGGCAATGACTCCTTGAACCGCACAGTCACAGGGGATGAGACATGGGTGTTGCAAGTAATCCCTGAGTTGAAGCAGCAGTCCATGGAATGGAGGCACACATCATCGCCAATAAAGAAAAAATTCAAACAGACCATTTCAACTCACAAGGTCATGTGCACAGTGTTTTGGGACAGAAAAAGCATTCTACTTGTGGAATTCTTGCCTCAAGGCTCAACAATCAATGCAGGCGTCTACTGCGAAACACTTAAGAAACTGTGTCGTGTGATCCAGAACAAGTGATGTGGCATGATTTCTCAGGGTGCTGTGATGCTTCATGACAATTCTCGCCGACACACTGCCACCGCAATGCAAAATTTCATCACGAAATTTGTCTGGGAACAATTCGATTATCCACCCCTCCAGCCCAGACTTAGCATCAAGTGATTTTCATGTGTTCCTGCATCTAAAAACTTTCCTTGGTGGCCGGTGGTTCCATGATGAAGAGGTCAAAGAAGTAGTTAACACGCGGTTTGCTTCGAAGGTGGCATCATTCTACAATGCAGGGATTTAAAAACTGGTACCCCGCTACGTCAAGTGCCTCAACAATGGTGGAAACTATGTAAAAATGTAGTGTACGGTGTGCATATCAAATGGCAATATAAATGGTTTGGAAATAAAGTCTTGTTTTTTTTTCAATACCCCATCAGACCTTACTTTCTGGATAACCTACATATTAATGCAAGAGGATGCTTAAATACAATATTATGGTCTCCACAACTTCCTGAAACATAATCACTCATTCACTCACTCATTCATGGAGCTGAGCCCTTCTTGAGAAGCCACCCATTGTGCAGTTACTCAAGAGTTTCTCAGCATTTGATAGAACCCAAAAGTCCATTACCGTGTTCACAAGAGCCTCCACTGGTACCTTTCCTGAACCAGATCAATCCAAACCATACCATCCCATTACATCTCTCTAAGATCCATTTTAACATTGTCCACCCACCGACGCTTTGGTCTTCCAGTGGTCTCTTTCCAACTGGCTTTCCCACCAATATCCTATATACATTCCTCTTCTCCCCCATTCAGGCTACAAGCCCTGCCCACCTCATTCTCCTAGACTTCATCATTCTGATTATACTTGGAGAAGCAAGTTATGAAGCTCCTCATCAAGCAGTTTTCTCTAACCTCCTTCCACTTCATCTATCTTTGGTCCAAATATTCTCAGCACCCTGTTCTCAAATACCCTCAGTCTACGTTCCTGCCTAACCGTCAGAGACCAAGTTTCACACCCTTACAGAACCCCAGGCAAAATTATAGTTTTATACATTCTAATCTCTATGTTTTTAGACAGCAGACAACAAGACAAAAGGTTCTGGACTGAATGGTAGCAACCATTACCCAAATTAAATCTCCTCTTAAATTTCTCCTGAATCAGATTTTGATTTGTTATCATCATTCCCAAATATCTGAACTGTGTCACATTTTCTATACATCTGTCACCTATCTTTATGTTAAGATTTTGCCCTACATTCTGTTGACAAGACAGCAACATATACCTAGTTTTCTCTCTGTTTACTTCTAGATCAACCTCCTTATTAGTGTCAATTTTTCCTTATGCCAAACAGAAGCAATTAGCTTATGGATCTGAGAACCTAATATTTCGCTTTGTGGTTGAATAATTTCTGCTGGAATCTGATCACTACTTGGCAATTTATACTGTTTCAATTTTGAAATAGCACTTTCAACCTCAAAAGGGCTACAGCTACAACTCAACTGTATGTATTTCTATCTGCCTAACATCACTATGTACATTGAATAACCAAGAGAAGTATTTCTTCCACCTATCCAAAATGTTATTGGAATCTGCAAGCAATCACCATTCTCATCCTTCACTAAGTTACTTCTAGGTTGGTAACCCCTCTTAAAGTCATTTATTCTTCTATACAGGTCTCTAATGTTCTTGTTTTTACTGTTCATTGCAAGCACATCAATTCTGTCTTTCAGATACTGCCTCTTTCTATTCTTGAAATACCTGCTGGTCTCATATTTTATATTGTTCAGCTTAACCTCATTTCTTTTGCTTACATACTGTAATTTGGCTTGTTTTCTTTTGTCTAATAATTTTGAACATCCTTCATTGAACCATGGCTTATGCTTCTTCAGTTCATAATAACCTAGACTCTCTTTGGCAGAAATTTTGATACTTCCTCTAACAGTTTCCCAAGTTTTATTAACATCCACCTCAGCGTATAAGTTTTCCAAAGCCGCGAACCTATTTGAGATTTCAACATGATACTGCTCTTTCCCTTCTACCTCATTTAATTTCTTGAGATTGAACCTCTCCATATGAGCTCTGTGTGCTGTTTGTTTGCTCACTGCCAGTTTTTCCCTAACCTTTGCCACCACCAAGTAGTAGTTAGTATCAGAATCTGCTGCCCTGAATGATCGGACATCAATACATCATACCTGAATGCTGTCTCCTATCTATCAAAATATGGTCGATTTTGACTGTGTGTCTTCCAAAGAGGAGATGTCCAAGTAAATTTATGGATGTAACAATGTGGGAACAATGTACTTTTGACAGTAAGATTTTTGACGTGGCAAAGTTTACTGCTCTAATTCCATTATCATTAATAATTTCATGCAAACTCTCATTCCGAATTGTTGGTTTGCAAATGTCTTCCCTCCCTACTTTGGTATTGAAATCTCCTAACAAAATTTTCAAATGGTACTTTACGAATTTATAAAATACTTTGTAAGATTTGAGGTTTTCACGGTGGTGACTATGAAGAAAGCAGTCTTCTGGGATTTGGCACCGTGTAGATATTGTGTTTCAGAGGAACATATCACCTCCATCTTCAGGGCAGTAGAAAAAAGAAGAAAATCCTGCAAGCAAGGAACCAGCATGAGCAGGTGCTACTGATTTCCCATGTAGCCCCTCTCTTCTTTTCCTGCTCTTATACAGTCTGACTCAACTTTAGTTTGTTAGCACCTGCTCATGCCGGTTACTCGCTTGCGGATTTTCTTCTTTTTCCTTCTACCCTGAAGATGGAGGTGATACGTTCCTCCGAAACGTCGGTTAACACAATATCTATATGGCGCCACATCCCAGAAGACTGCTTTCTTCATTATCAAATACTTGTTCTAGTTATTTGCAGAACCTGCCCTTTATATCATCAATGTTACCTTCTGTTGGGGCGTGAACATTCAGAATGAACCAAAACATAATCAAAATCTTTACAGATATTTTTAATATAATATCCACTATAATTTTCGAGCCACATCTGAGGGGTTACTTTTTATGTAGCATATTCATATTTCCTTAAATAATGCATAAGAATAAAATTATTCAGGAGCTAGAAAAGGGCACATATATACACACATTCAAACATACATACAGACACACAAATGACATTCCAAAAGCCAATTTTTCATATTCATGAATGCTGAAAATGTGTAACTGTGACAGAATCTTGAGACAGATTTCTTTTCATCATCTCAGTACTATCACACATTATGTGTACAAGAAAGTTTAGAGAGGGCCTTTGTTTTTATGTACCATATTACGAGTAGTTACAGTAAGATCAAATCCTCATTCTTGAAATCTGCCCTGTGTTACACAAGACAAGTAGTAAAACTAGCTTAAACCACAGGCAACAACAACTACACAGATAATGAATACTTAAAGGCCGAGCAGGTTTCTTTATACCTGTATTTTAGGGATAAGTTCAAATACAACTACAGTCACCCCATGATATCCTGAGTGAGGTATATTATGATCTTCTTCAGTCTCTCCAGACAAATTACTTTATATATCCCACAAGTAATTCCTTCATAATCCATACCTACTCATTCTTCATTATCACTCTGTCTCATCATTCAATGCTATGCAACTTCTACACTTTAAACAGAATAATTCAATACTCTAAGAATCATGCAATCAAATTCTTGAAACACAGAGATTTATTCAGCGCCTATTTTATTTTGAGGACCCTTCAGAACAATGACAATAGGGCTCTTATGGGTTTATACTACTTCTTATCCCATCATATATTATATATATGCTTTGGATTGTTATTTCAGTAGGACCCTAAATTCAGAATGTCTGCCTAACCAATGTCATGATTAAATAAATCATAACCTGTAATGACTGAGCTTTATGAAGTTCCTGTCTGTTCCTCTCCATCTCTCTCTGGTCCAGCAGTCTCTTCTTCTGTCTTCGAACATCTGCTTCCTGCAGCATATGAACCCTCCTCTCCATGGCTTCTGTTTCAGTGCGAGAGAGACTCAGTTGCTCCCGCACATGAACTAGCTGGAAATATTACAATATGTAAAGAACAATATTTTTCTTTTCTTGGACATTTTTAATACTTTCCCAACTGCTACCAATACCAAAGATAACAAATTCCTTTCCATACAATCACAATCAATAACCTTAACTCTTTGACTGGCGCGGGCGTGTTTTAACGCCCGGACGATGCCAGCCATTCCCTGGCGTTGGCGTGTTTTAACGCTTTGACAATCTCTTCCCTTCTTTGCTCTCTTGGCATTCATCAACCAAAGACATATATATCATAGTTTTTGTGCATGTTTGTAAAGAACCCTTGTAAACTTTGTGGGGGTCTATATTACTGTCAGAACCCTCTGAGAAGGAAAAGGTCAGAAAATATTTCACATTGATTCAGTTTCACCATGGCTTCTTGCAGCAAGTGTCTTCGTGTTCCTACAGACCAGTTGGAAAATGTTGTGAACGAGATTTGTTCTGAAGATGATAGTGGCGATGAAATAATGATTCCTGGATTGGATGAAGTTCATAGTGACAATAATGCAGTGATAGACAATGATCCACAAGACAGTAATCATGAACATTCACCTACCATGAGTGCGGTGCCTATGACGCCCATCTCATGAACGTACGGAGACATTGTACCCCCAGTATTTCCATTTTCTAACAGTTTCGGGATCAAAATTGATATAACACATAAAATGCATCCCTTTCCATGG